TTAGGTAATATTCATCAATGTCAAAACATTAACCTGAAGTTTTTATTATTCTAAAATCAACAACTAAAATAAATGAAATAATCATCGGTTGAACGAAGTGATATTTTGAACACGACAAAATCTGACTGAATGATGAAAGTGAAATTTACCTGATATCGAGGATATGTGTCGGTGATCATATTTAGCCGTGTACATACATTACGCACTGAGCATATAAGTGTGAATTTATCGAGATTGTCCAGAATACGATAGACAATCTCGACAGGTAATGCCAAAAAAGGTGAAGGAACGTTGCTAGCCATATATGTTGCTTGTTTTCGAGTAGTATGTGTCGTTAAAGTAAGTTTTTCTTTAAATTTGCCTTTCTTTATATCAATGTATTTATTGACAATGTGTCATCAACTTTCATCGTAGTTATGCAATCTTTTTCTTATATACACAACTGAAAGAAGGTTACTGTGAAAAGTCTAATGACAAAGTAGATTTGTAAAAGTATTCATAAATATATCATATATTCCTATCTGAACTTGATTCGAAAATTTTGAGTATGTATAGCTGATCGTTCATGAGAATATGTATTCTTCTTGAATATATTCAAGAGCTCCTTCATGTTATCTTTCTCTCCATTTCGTTTCAGCTTCCAAGAGAAAAACAAAGAGAAAAAAAGATAAGCGAAAATTTTGCAACATCAGATAACAAATAAATGAAACAGAGGAGTAAAGACATGGTTAAAAATGTCAATATTATAATTTTATTCTTATAATGCAAGATAAGTGTCACACGTGGTAATAAAAACGAGCGACTAAAATACTACTTTTTGTATACACAGTTGCTTAACACAAAATCCATCTTCAATAATAAAGAAAAAAGACTAAAATAAGATTACTGTTACTTTTTGCATCACCAACAATACAGAAGAATTTATTTTTAATCATTTTTGCAAAAGAAAAATAGTGACAGGCAAAAATCCGTAAACGAAATTTCAACAAAATGATGTTAGAAGAGACAATCCTGTAAATGTTTCGTATATCAATGAAAATTTCTTTTTCACCCATGAAAAAATGTCTTGTAAAAGTTTGCGTTTCAACGCGTTTTTTTTCTGGTTCGCATGTTTTCGCTAGACATTAAACGCAGTTTTTAAAACGCGTTGGAATGCGTTCTTTTCCACTATAAACGCAAACAAGCAGTTCGAAAACGCGTTCATTATGGTACGTTTTATTGATATAAAACGCGTTTATTTTCCTATAAAAGCCGTATTCTATCCCCTTATCTATATTACTTATCGTATCATAGTTACATCATTTTATTTTATGTTTCTCAGTAACTTCTTTGCCAAAAGTTCTAAGGATTTCAGAAAAGATAAATCGTAGTCAGTACAGCATGAGTCGAAGTAAAGTTGATATACTGAAGTGCTCCATTACAGTCTAACAAAAAGTTTAAGTATAAATCAAATAGAAGGAGCACTTGGGTGTCAACTTTACTTCGACTTATGCTGTACTGACTATGATTTATCTTTTCTGAAATCCTTAGAGCTTTTGGCAAAGAAGTTACTGAGAAACATACAATAAAATGATGTAACTATGATAAGATAAGTAATATAGATAAGGGGATAGAACAGAGCTTTTATAGGAAAAAAACGATAATATAAGCCTTATTAAGTCTTAAAATGTGAATCCGAGTAGTCAATAAAAATACGGTTGCAATTAGAGGAAAGATCCCGACGAAATTAAATAGTTTGAAGATGATTAAGGGAGAGATAATCGGATATGTAGTTGTCACTTTGCTTCGATTTGTAAGATTTCTATTCAAGCTATGCGATGCGATATTTCTGACTATAGAGGTATACGATGTAATATTACTAACTATAAGGCTATACGATGTGATATTTCTAACAACCAATGCATGTTGACATACGAAATACTTTCCTTAGATAATTTTTCTATAAACTAATCTGAATTTTTTGGATGAAACTCAATGTTTCTAAAAGGCATGCGTTATATTATTTATCTCTATCAGCGCCACCTATGGGATAATTTTTTTTGGTGATTATCAAGGAACGGCTGAGATTTATTCGAAAGAACTTTTAATTTACAAGCAGAAAAAAATCAAAGATTTCCGCAAATTATTTATTCAATGAAAATACCCCGTATGTCTTTATTTTTCTCAGACAATTCCATTGTGACACTAAGCTCATCAATTAGACATAAAGCACATACTAAAGAACAAGAGGAACAGATAAAAATTCTTACAATATATCATTTTGATTCTAAAAGCAACAGATGCTATGAAGAGATATAAAGAGACAAAATGAATGAAAGATCAGGTTTGCCATCGGTATTACTCCCAAATTATGTCTGACGAGAAACGAAAGTCTGTGCATGTCAAATTGCAGCATTCTTCAAAGAATAGGTTACAGATATATTCGAACTTTTACTGGGAACAAAGCAACTAAGATTTTTCGACGACGAGTACAGAAAATCACTAAAAGACAAAAGAACTGAGCTAAAATTTGAACAGAGTACTGTGAAGACGGTAAAAGTATATGCATTATTTTTTCTTCGTATAATCTCTTTTAAGGAATTGCGAATGTTAGAAAAAAATGATCTAAGTATGATTCATTAGAAATTTTATGAAAAATTTTAAAAAGTATCACAGGATTAGTCAATGAAGGAAAATAATTTAACAGAGTCGTTACATCGGTATCATCTTATCCATGGAATCAATAAATGAAAGAAATTCCAAGACTTTCGTGAATTTTATACCAAAAACACGAATACAATGGCATTTCGAATGATGACATTTTTTTGATTTTTCGCCTTTCTGAGTTTCTATAACTTTTCAACTTGTTCAACAAGTTTTTTCAGTCAAATTAAATTTGTTCTAAGCAGTCTGCACTTGTCCTTTTTGTACAAAACCATTTCTTTCTTTGGTGATATTCAAATAGATTCTACTGTACTTTGATCATAACATTTAACTGCAGAATGGGTCTATTTAAACCATATATCTTTGAGTGTAACATTGTGAAATATTTGTCTAACTTGTAGCAAACTCTTACTTCATGAAACGGTGTTTTTACTGTAAATATTAATCTAAATATCATTTAACTTATTTACGAAATGACACGTTTTTTTCAGAAAAAATACGTTAAAGAAAACAACGTTCCAATGCGCTTGTAAAAACTTTGTTTTTCACAAAAAACACATTCAAAAATAAACACGTTCTTGTACGTATGTAATAAATTCATTTTTTTGGTAAAAGAATGCGCTGAGATGCATGAAAAATAAATGCGTCGGAACGCATAAAAGCAAACGCGTTCAAATGATGATATCAGGAGGCATTTTTATTTCAAAAAACGCGTTGTAAATAAAAACAATGCGTTCAAACGCGTTCTAAATACACACTAATGCGTTTAAACGCAAAAATAGCGTTTTCCTCAAAAAAGTTGGCGTTCAAACGCTACTTTTTGCAAATTTTTTTTTCATGGGTGTTTTTTTTCTTTCATCTGATCTCATCACATTTAGTTCTTTTTTTTCCATATATTGGATACTTAGACGTGAATCATTTCAAGGTGTGGGCCTTTTATCGGTCAATTGCTTAGATCGAGTGTTTAATTGTTAGATATTGCAGGTCAAATAAATTTGATGGCAAGAACATTACTCGATTTCATCGCTCTTCAAAGTTCGAAAGCGAATGCAACGAGTCAGTTCTCCTTTTTTGATTTGAAAATCTGATCGAATTCGAAATGGTGATTGCTAGCGGAATACTGAAAGATTTCATTTAATTTCTTTTCTTTTTCATCATTAACGCGTTGGAAAATATTCCCAGAGAGTTAAGCATTCCTAAAAGTGTATTTTTGTTTCGTTCAGCTTTACCATCGTCTTTAGTCAAAAGTCAAAGTGATGAAAATGATCAACGAATATTGGTTGTCAATCAGATTTGAAAAGTCTTTTATCGATGGATGACAGTCGATTCAAAAAAGGATCAAACGAGCTGAAATCGTTATTCGATTCCAAATGATTTTCTCGCTTCAATCAAACTTGACTAGATTAGGAATCGCTCGCACACGATGTTCCATTATTGGCCGAATATTTCGAGGAATATTATTCAACTCTGTTGCGATCTTCACTTGCACATGATGATTGGTATGGGAAAAAAGAAATTCAATGTTGATTTCGACTGACTGTACTGAGAAAGAATAAATCCTTTGTCAACATTGGATCAACGAGAATATCTTGGCTTGATAGATGGCTAATACTCTCAAATAAACGTCGAAAAGGACATCAAATCAAAATTGTCAATCTCTACAAACAGGTTTTTTTGTTGGATCAAACAAGATTGATGTTGAAATCGATTGAACCCAACTTTAAATTAGTGAATGAGTGATGGACACTAGTGGTAAGAGAATTTTCGACAAAGTCACTTAATTGATGTTTTTGTCCCGTTTCATTGAAAAACTCTTTTTAAACAGAGAGATATATTGTGTATTCTGTCAACACATAATATATATCTTTCTGTTCAAAAACAGTTAGTGGTCACCTGTTCTGAAAAGATTAAAAGCATTTTAACAGTAGAAATTGTCCGCTTATGGATTCAAGTTTACGTTTTCGCTGACAATAAAATTTAATTTTAAATGCCATTTTTGTCGTTGACAACTTATGTGTGGTTTCCTCGATGGATGACAATAAAAAATTGCTTATCTACATTTTACTTTTATTTTTCACTAAAGTAGTAATCTTTTATTAGTACAAGGCTCGTTATATCATACCGTTGTAGAATAATTAATGACCTCGACTACTTTTCTTTGATAATCGTTCAACTGTCATCAAGATATAAGTATTTGAAACAATAAATAAAATCATAAGAATAAGACACTACTTGAAAACATGAAAATAAGCTGAAAGGGACATAAACTTCTACAGGAGACATGGGATGAGAACCTATATAAATATTTTTTTTTCCTTCTTGTGATGTTAAAGTAAATATCCGAAGTGTATTGAACATTAGTCGAAAGTTACTGTCACACCAATTTTCTTTGGTATGAGCATACTTTTCGAGTTGAATCTACCTGCATTGACTTCGAGACCACCATCACCGAAAGTAACATGTTGCATTAGTCTGACTGCGATTGCTTTCAGTTCTAATTGAGCTAAGTTTTGTCCGATACATTGTCGATGACCACTTCCGAATGGAATCAATGCATATGGATGATGATCTTTGTCTTCACCTTGAAATCGTTCAGGATAGAATAGATCTGGATCGATCTTCCAATAGCGTTTATCTCGAGTTAAATTAAATATATTAATACAAATTTCATCACCTTTTTGCAATTGAATGCCACTAGCCGGTAATCGATCGTCAATAGTTACACTACGTGTAGTGGCAATTGAAGGTGGTGCAAAACGAAGTACTTCTTGAATAACACAATTCAAATATTCAAGAGATTCAAGTTGTTCAATAGAGAGATATTGTTGTTTGTTATCGCCTAGTTCAGCTTTGATTTTTGTTTGTACACGAGGATTTTTACTCATCAGATGAATAAACCATGCTAATGCAGCTGATGTTGTTTCGTAACTGCTCACGAGAAACAAAAGCATTTCATCAAACACTTCATCATGCGATAATCCTAAACAAAAGAATAATAATTTTTCAATATGGAAAAAAGATAGTTTTAGCGAAATTAAAACATAGATTCACCTTTCTTTTTATCTGTCGGTTTTATCGCTTCCTTCTTTTCGTTCTCCTGTAATGAATTGATGAGTGATGCAATTAGATTAGTTCTTCTTCCTTCCACAATCGATTCTTCTGTCTTTTTTTGTTCTTGTTCAACTATTCGATCAAAATATTTGCGAATAACAGATAATGCTTGCCGATATTGAGTGTTGCATTTCAAGTAAATTCTTCCAATAATTGATGGCATGTAAACAGCCAAGGAGAAAACATTCCAAAAATCGAGTAATGACCTGGTCAGCTGATTATTATTAATATAACCATCGTCGGTCAAAGTTTCTAGATCATAATCAAAACCAATGTAACCAAAGATTGCCAGTAACAACTCTTTACACTGTTTAATTATATCACAATAAATATAACTGGGATCATCAATCTTTGAATGCCATCGATCGAGCAACTTGTCGGTACAATCATAGATGAGATCTAAATTGTTTGCAACTCTATTGCGACGAAAGAGAGGAAGAACAACATTTGCATGACGCTTGTAATCTTCTCCTAAGATAAAAATAAATAAATAAAGCAATACTTCTGTCTCGTTTCAATATACAATTTTAAATCATGGTAACATAACGAAGTATTTGAAATCTAGCAGTGATTTTGTAATGTGACGCTACTCTAAAGAAGAACAATTGAGACTATTTTAGTTGATATATAAATTCTTATTGACAGGTATTGATATCAATCAGATTGAATAGAGGATATTCACGTGAATATTGTGGACTACTTCAATAAATTCTCGTATGAAAGACAACGAGCACTTGTCTCCATGACTCCCTTGATCTTTGACTGAATTTGATCTAATCATAATCTTTCATCGTTTGATGAATTCTATTTTGAGAACTGATGCTGTACATCCGTGCTCATGACTGTTGAGAACCGAAATCAGTCAGTTAGAATTAGAATTTTGTGGTATTTCGGAATATATATTCAAAATTATCTTTTGACGTAAGTTTGGTCAACTATGAGAAAGTTTTTGAAAGTATCTAAGATGTTTTGTGTACAATTGTATTCTGTTCAATTTTTGTATTTTGACCTAGATCCACTTAATGCAGAACGTGAAATTATTTTTAATGAATCAATTTTTTAGAGAAGACATTGCTCTTCTAAATGTACCGTTCATGGTTTGCTTTTTGTCTTACACTACACATTCAAAATATTTTGTATGATTAAAGAAGCAGTTTTTGAAAAATCAAGTTTTTCACAAATATCAACTTATGTGGAACTTAGTTCTTCGGAAAATAATACATAACTTTCGAAGGATTCAAAGTTTTGCTTATTCGAGTAGTTCAGTTTCTAGAAAATGGAATGCTCTACAATATAGACTAGTTACGATTTTTCTGACGTTCAAATCACACGAACTAAGGATTGCGCAAAGCTCTATTTTGCTTTGTACAAACACCATTTTTTGGTCCTTTGAGCAATTTTCTCATACTTGCTCTTATGTATATAGAATTTGTCCAGATAAAACTTTTTCCCTTCTACAAAATTAGTGAGTTACCGATGACTAGGTTCTCAACTGGAAACTGAAAATACTAGAACTATGATGCAACTATCTGTAGATACAATACGCTTCATTAGCTCATATGAAAGATCAATTTTGACAACGATCTATAATAGCTAAACCTTCAACGAAGCAGATACGAATATCGACGAGGAGTGTAAAGTGAGCTTTTCTGCCTGACTCACTATCACTCATGAAAACTGTAATTCGATCAACATTATGCATGACAAAATATGTGATTGCCTAAAAATCCTGCTTGAAAAAACTGATGAGAGAAAATTATCACGAGTAAAAGCAGTCTCAAAGTTCAGATCTCGATCAAAAAAAAAAAAGGATTGATCCACAGTTGAATTATCACAAAATCTTATTGACAAACGACGCAAGTTTTCAAAGGCTGACTCTAACAGTATCTGATTGACTGAAATTGCGACTTCGAGGAACCGACTGTCCATTTCAAAATAGAATAGATTCGGCTGTTTTTTTTTGAATAAATCGAGAATGAGAATAGCTATTGAAATGCAGTTTTCACCGTTAGAAAGTGGCTAAACGAGGGTACCTATATAGCTAAGAAGCAAAGCAACTGAATAGCTTTATAGAAGTTGTTCAAGAGCATTTTTATATACCAGTAATGAACTCTTTTGATTACATGTAACTCTAATTTCAATTTAGCCTCTATAGATGCTAAAATTTGCAGACATTTTTGAGCATTTTTCTGAGATAGAGGAAAAAATATCCTGAAATCTAGTGAGAGTAAATTTTCAGTAATTTTCACTTGAAATCTCTCAATCATAGAGATAGTATAATCTGTAAATTATTGTAGCGTTATTAGTTAGATAATTGGACGTCTTTGATTACTTTATAGTATTTCGTGTATGTGTATCTCTGTCAATATTGACTAATTTTATTCAAAGCACGCAGTAATTTTTTAATCGTTCATGTTTATTTTATGTCTTGTTGATCACAGCAACATAATTATGCATTAAAGGGTTTGAATGTGGGAGGTGGGTGTCCATGGGTGTTAGTCTTCTCTTTACTGACACCTACATTCAACCCCAGCCCCAAGCCCACAATAAATGAATATGAAATTAAATATATAGAAAGAGGTATCAAGTGCATAGTCTACTGAAGGTGAAAGGTTGCTTACAGCCGGATAGGATGAATACAAGTGGAACAGATGTAAAACAGTGAAGAGCAGCCCGATAACACAGTGAAAAAATAAACTATTTTGAATTCCGTAAAAATGCCATAACTAATTACACCAACAAAGCAATAACAAAGAAAGGTGTAAAATCCTCGATGGGCAGCCGGAATAAATTAGTCGATATTGACAGAGATACACATACATGAAATACTATAAAGTAATCAAAGACGTCCAATTATCTAACTAATAACGCTACAATAATTTACAGATTATACTATCTCTATGATTGAGAGATTTCAAGTGAAAATTACTGAAAATTTACTCTCACTAGATTTCAGGATATTTTTTCCTCTATCTCAGAAAAAAGCTCAAAAATGTCTGCAAATTTTAGCATCTATAGAGGCTAAATTGAAATTAGAGTTACATGTGATCAAAAGAGTTCATCACTGGTATATAAAAATGCTCTTGAACAACTCCTAGAAAGCTATTCAACTGCTTTGCTTCTTAGCTATATAGGTACTCTCACATAACCTCTTTCTAATGGTGAAAACTGCATTTCAATAGCTATTCTCATTCTCGAGTTATTCAAA